GCAAGAAGCCACTAGGCAAAATTCTCAAAGTCCTACTGACGAGGAGCCACTAGGCAAAATTTCCAAGTCCTAATGGTGAGGAACTACTAGGCAAATTCAAAAGCCCTACTGGTGAGGAATCACTAGGCAAAATTTTCAAAGTCCTACTGGTGAGGAACTACTAGGCAAAGCATCAAGTCCTACTGGAGAGGAACTACTAGGCAATTTTCCAAAGTCCTACCGGTAAGGAACCGCTAGGCAAATTTCTAAAGTCCTACTGGTGAGGAACCACTAGGCAAATTTCCAAAGTCCTATTGGTGAGGAACTACTAGGCAAATTTTTAAAGTCCTACTGGCGAGGAGCCACTAGGCAAAATTCCCAAAGTCCTACTGGCGAGGAGCCACTAGGTAAATTCCCAAAGTCCTACTGGCGAGGAGCCCCTAGGCAAATTTCTAAGTTCTACTGGTGAGGAACCACTAGGCAAATTTCCAAATCCTCAGGCGAGGAGCCTCAGGAACTTATGGTTCGTGGATTCATTCTTAAACCACGAAATCAAAATAATCATCATAATCATCACCACCATCAATTCATACTTCTGGAATAAACAACAAAGAGACGCTCACAAACAGGTAAGTTTCTCTCTCTCTCTCAATCATTAAGAACCTCTTGAAATGTGTTTTGAAAAGAAAACTTTTGAATTAGATCACAAATCTCAAAGCAAGATCCCTAATCAGTTGTTGTGAAATTTCTATTTTGTCTTGTCCATAGAGTCAACTAAAAACTCAGGTGTCACCTTGTCTTTGAGATCAACCTCTAACGAGTTCAATCTCAAAGAAAGAGCAGTTGTTGACACCGGATTTTTAGCTCATTTTGTTTTATTTTTTCAAAAATCTCAAAATTAGGATTAGGAATCTTGACCAAACTTAGAAACCTATTTCTAGGCCAAAAATAAATTTTTTAGAATTTTCCTGAATTTTTCTCAATTTCTTTTAATCAAAATAAGGAAGAAAATCAAGAAAAATAGCAAATGGAATCCAAAAATTCCATAAAAATAGTCATTAATCTCCTTTTAAATCCAATTTCATTAATACATCATCAATTTTTGAAAATCTCAATCGGGGATGTGTTTTTCCCAAAATTGGGCAAAATCAAACTCGAATTGGACAAAAAATGCAATTAAATCTTTTCTAGTCATTTTTAAGTCATAGTGTCTTCACAACAAATGATTTTGGGACCTTGAATTACATAATGGTCTGTACAATTGCACAATTTGTCAAAGAAATCAGAAAAACCCAAAATTCAATTGGAAATTAGGAATTTTAAGCCCAAATTGGGAATCGTGTCCAATTCGAAATTGTCGAATCATGAGACTGTCATTTCTAAGGTTAATCTGATGTGGGTAATTCAACTTTGACACCAATTTTTCCTAATCAGGTCATTAAGATATCGAATTGAATAAAACCCTAATAACCCGAATATAAAAGTTGAGAATCTAGGACATGATTATGTCAAAAATTGGGGAAAATCACATATTTGGGTTCAAAATGTGATGAAGAATTCAATTTTGGGGTTTAATTTTGAAAATTTGATTAAAATCGGGCTTAATTTGAATCTTTGGACAGAATCAGGTCTGCCGGTCAACCCGACCCGACCCGGGATACCTTCCTTCTTCGCCCGACTCGCCTAAAACGCATAATGAACCTAGAAAATGCCTTCTCAACCCCACGACTTTGCCGACTTACCTGGAGCAAATGAACACATGAAAATTGAGACGGCCAGCTAGAGAATCTCCAACTGGCGCCAGAGACTCGACCCAACTTATCGGAAGACGGTTCTAACTGAATTTGAGCGGGAAAATCGATCAAGAACAAAGGGAAGAACAATATCATTATGAGGAGAACATGCTCGACGTTATGCCAAAGAGAGAGAAGAGAGAGAAACAAGGACGAAAGAGAGAGAACTAGTGAGAGAAGTGAGTCGAGACTCCCTGAGGCCGAGTGATCGACGCTTTTCCGATCGAAAAGTGCCGGCAAATCGGTCTCGTCGGTGAGTTTCCTCACCGGCGAACCAGAGTTGGGGCTGATCACGAAGCCCTGAAAACGAGCCTCGGCTGGCGTATCCAGATCACCTCCGGAGGTTCTGAGACCACCTACTTGAAGCTTGGGTGACGGAGAAGGAATCCATAGCAGCAAATCAGCTCGGAGAAGTCGTTTGACCGTCGAACGGAATAGGTAAAAATCGTTTGTTGCTTTGGTTTTTACAGATTTCCAGAATATATTTTTGGCTTGTTCGTTCGTTTTTCTTCAACATTTTGTTATACTAGATGCCTAAAATGTGTTTTGATCACATCTTGCTTGCTTGTTTGCACTCTGAATGATTAAAAATACATTCAAACCGAGTCGGCCATGGGTGTTAAGCCTCGTCGGAAATTCCAAACCTCGCCGGAGACTGGAAGTGCTTGCTGGAGAGTCGTCATGGCTCTAGGCCGTTCAAGTAGGCTTTCTTTGACCTTGTTTGATGATTTGGTGTTGATTTGAACCGATTTAGATGGTTAAGGCGATCGGTATGATGATTTGCATTTATGAGAAATAGAGTAGAACAGTTTGCAAGTTAGGTTGTTTAGGTTGATCTTTCGCCGGCCGGTGAACGTCCGGCGGCATCCCGATTAGGCTAAATTGACACTAGAACATATGGACATTACAATAGATCAAATAGAATGGCCAAAATCATGCCAGAAGGTCGACGGAATTGAGCTCAAAGTCACGGCCTCGATAACCATGAACTCAGAACCATGCCCGTTAGGTGTTTGTAAAAATGCCCCAAAGAAGACTGTTGGAAACGGCGCCGGCGATGCCTGGTTCGGCTTGGCCGAACTGGGTTGAACCAGCCGGTCCGGTTCACCATCTCGGCGAGAAAAATTAAAAAAATCTAAAAATAATTGAAAAATTGAAAAAAATAATAAAAAAATAGAAAAATCAGAAAAACATAAAAAAAATTCAGAAAATTTTAGAAAATTTCATAAAAATTCAAAAAAATTTAGAAAATTCAAAAAAATTCAAAAAATACAAATAAAAAATTGGAAAAATTCAAAAATCCATAAAAATTTCCAAATCTCAGAAAATAAAAAAAATTGTAGAAAAAATGATAAAAATCAATTCTCGGAAGTATTAATTCTTAGAAAATCAATTTTTCACAAAAAAAAATCAAGAATTTCAAAAAGTCACAGAATCGTTTAAAAACACCGTGGCCAACCTTTGCAAGTGAAATTAGAATTTTAGGAAGTGCCCAAATGGCATTTTTAGAAAATCCCAAATTCAGGGGTTATAACCCCTAAAAAAACCCTAAACCCTTAAAAAGACATAAATCATAAAATGAACAAGCCTTTAGGGCTTCATTAGGTTTTGGATGTTTTGTTTGAATTTCATTTTTAGAGACAATTTAGGATTGTTTGGTTTGATTGACATTGATTGCACATTTAATTCTTAATTGATTGATTCCTCACGATTAGAATGGATAGGATTAGTGGATAGGCCTCGGAAACTTGCGTGACACATTAGATATCGTAACGTTCTTAGGTACCGAAAGGGCGTTAGGAATCTCAATTTGGGATCATTAGCTTAACCAAGTCCCCGTATTCAAAATCTCTGGTTCGTAGAATCGTGGTATTTCTCCCATACCCCGATTAGGTTTCTAGTCAACCTACCAATAATGACTAGTGGTGACTCCAAAATCGAAAACTTAGACTAAATAAGAAATTACCATCCACTGTCACGTGAGGTATGGTCTGGGAGAGACCCTTATACGAAAATACCTCCTTAGCGTTCAACCTTTGAAAGTCCAAAAAAGGCGCGGCACGACAAAGGTTCCATAATCAATTGTTGTGAAGACACTATAGCCTAAAAATGCCTAAAAATGACTTAATTGGATTTTTGGTTCAATTAGGGTATGAAATAACCGAAATTTGGCGAAAACATATCCCAAATTGAAATTTTTTAAAATTGAAGTTGCAGGGATAAAATTAGAATTAAAATAAGACTAATGACTATTTTTTGGAAATTTTTGGACTTCATTTGGTAGTTTTCTTGATTTTCTTCCTATTTTTACCAAAAGAAATTGAAGAAAAATTAAAGAAAAATATAGAAAAACCATTTTTTGTTTAGAAATAGGTTCCTAAGCTTGGTCAAGGTTCCTAAACTTAATTTTATGATTTTTATGTAAAATTGAAAATTGAACCAAAAATCAGGTGTCAACACTAGGGTTGCTCAATTTGAAATTATAGAACAAAGTATTATTAGGCCGCATGCTTTGGAACCTCATCGATTGTCCATCCTCTTCTTTATGGAGTAATTGGGTTCACAGTACTAAATGCAGAGGCACTCCAATTACACAGCTCGACATCAAGGGCAGCATGGCCTGAAGTTGGCGAGGTCTTTTTTAGTTGAGATCCACTCTAACTTCGGTCATATCTAGCTCTACTTTCTGTTGTAAACAGATTTATGACGAACTTAGACAAGTAGGACGGATTGTGGAGTGACATAACCTAATTTGGACCAGCAGTATTAACAAACATAATTTTTTGGGCTGTCTTCTTTGCAAAGTAAGGCTCTCAACAGCAAAAATCGTATCACGATGGATGCCTTTAGTTGATAATTTAAGGGTGTGCAAAAAACCCGGTACTCGCCCAACCCGCCCAGGACCGCCCGGAACCGGACCAGGACCGGTGGGTTCTAAGGGTTTCGGTCCGGTTCCCGGTTCCAATTTTTGGGAACCGGTGGGTACCGGTCCGGTTCCCGGTTCCGAGTGTGGAACCGCCCACCCGGACCGGACCGGTATAATATATATAATATAATATTTTTAATTTTTAATTTAAAAAATTCAAAACCCTAAATCAGGATACTCTCTCACAACACAAGCTCACTTAGTCACTCTTAGTCGACGCCTCTCAAGTCTCAATCTCCGATACTCTCTCCTCTCCGACTCTCACCGTCTCCGTCTCCATCGCCCGGTCTCCATCTCCGTCGGGTCCGCCGGTCTCCGTCTCCATCTCTTCCACTACGACTGCCAGGTCTGCTCTCTCGCTATCTCTCTCCAGCCGGTTGTCCTTTGCATTTGCTGCTCTCTCAATTTTCTGCAGGGTATGGCTTCGTTTCGCCTGATAGTAGGGGTGTATGTGTGCGAAGAAACCCACGCACTTTGCTGGGCTTTGGATGTTATGCTGCATGAATTCCTCTTTTGCGTGTTTCAGTCGCATCTCTATTTCGTGTGAATTCCTCTTTCACATGTTTCGGTTCTTCAGTAGCGTCTCTGTTTCGTACGATTCTCGACGTGGGTTGGTCAAATTCGCCAGTTTTTCCTCTACATTTGCTGCTCTGGGTAGTGGGTTATAAATGGGTAGTTTAGTTGGAGAAACTACCCATTAAAAATCATTTACAAAATGATGCACTTAGATGGGTCTTCAGTAGCATCTCTGTTTTATGATGGTAAAACGGGTAGATATGTTGGCAAGCAAGCAAGAAAGCACTAAACATGGTCTATAGCAGGATATTTGGTAGCGAGGATGATGCTGGAGGATCCTTCGCACTTGGGAATGATTTCCCTGGAAGAGGACAAGCTGATGAAGCCAGTGATTAAGAGATCTTCTTCTTGGACTTGCTGAATAAATCCCGACAGTAGAAAAAAAGACTAGAGAATCGAACAGAGAACACAAGTGAGATTAGCTTGTTCTTACGCCGATATTCTTTTGGTGATTTGCATCTTGTAGGTTTGTTTTGAACCCTTATGAAAGTTTGGTTTCGTGTACAATAGCAACTGCTAAATTGCATCAAGCTTGCTGAATAAAAAGAAAAACATTATGGTACTTGTGCAGTTTTATAAATGCTTTTCTTGATTATGAGCCATGCTCTCCTATCTCACGAGTGATTCTCAGTTTTGTTAACATGATGGTAGAACTTTAGGGCAAAATTTTAGAACATCTATGCCCAAAAAGATGCTTTCTTTTACCAGTCACTAGTATGTTCAAGCTGCTGGTGTTCTAGAATTGGTATTCTTGGTATTTTTAAAATACCAAGAATACTATATGGTGAATTTCTTTTTTTTTGTTCAAGAATACTATTTTATGTTCGATTAAGTTTGCTATGTTGGTAAATTTCCTTTTTTTTGTGAAGTATTCAGTTAACAAGTGCTTGAGATCTCTTATATGGTCTCAATGTTTTTTCACCTTCAAGCCTGGTTGGGAGGCTTAACAAGACCCATCAAGCCTACCTGTCATGATAAGTTTTGTCACGGCTACGCCGTGATCGACGTCGTTTTTTTGCGTTTCGGAGTCATTTAGATGGGTTTTCTGGCTTTAGTTTTGAATCTTGATGACCTTAAATTTTATCCATTAATGACATGTTGCTTGATTTGAGCAGATGATCTATTAACATGTCAATGGAAGTAGAGAAATCCTATGATGAGATAACACCAATAATTGAATCAGAATCACTAGAACATGGAGGAGGGGAAGATGACTTTGAAGAGGCATCCAATACAGATAAGGTATCCGGTTCTTGTCCTCAGTCTAGTAAGCGAAAATCAGTAGCTTGGCTTCATTTTCGTAAAGGCAAAACTGACGCGAACGGGAAACTTGAAATGTTTTGCAATTATTGTGGGACCAAGTATTTGTACCATGTTGATAATGGCACTTCAACTATGTTGAAACATTTGAGAAAGTGCCCTCAGTATCCTCGCAATATAGATAAGAAGCAAAAATTGTTTGCATCACATGCAGTATGTGGGAATCAAATGATAGGGGAAAATACTAGTACTGGAAGTGCTAGTTTTTTAACGACATGGAATTTTGATGAGGAGAAATGTAGGGAAATGCTAGTTCGAATGATTATAACTGATGAACAACCATTTTCGATGGTTGAGCATGTTGGATTTCGTGATTATACCAATCAATTATAGCCTCTCTTTAAGCATGTGTCGCGATTTACGGTGGCTAGAGATTGTATGAAGTTGTATTTTTGTGAAAAAAAGAGTTTGAAGGCTTCCTTTCATAAGCTTAATTCTAGAATCGTACTCACGACTAATACATGAAGTTCCCTTCAGAATTTGAACTATTTATGTCTCACCGCACATTTTATTAATGAAAACTGGAAATTGAACAAAAGAATCATCAATTTTGTGGTGTTGCCTAGTCACAAGGGTAGAGATATTGGGAAAATGGTTGAGAAATGCATTTACGAGTGGGGAATAGAGAAAAAAGTGTCAACAATCACTGTGGATAATGTTAGTTCGAATGATGTTGCCATTGGTTATTTGAAAGAAAAGTTTGCAAAAGATGAACTTTTGATCTTAGATGGTGAAGTTTTACACATGAGGTGCACGGCTCATATATTAAACTTGATTGTGAGGGATGGCTTAGCTGAGGTACGCGATTCTATTGCACGTATTCATAACGTTGTTAGGTATGTGAGAAGTTCTCCCATGAGAGCTAAAGCATTTCAAGATTGCATTGAGAAAACAAGGATCACTTATAAGGGTTCAGTTTGTCTTGATATCTCCACTAGGTGGAACTCCGCTTACCTAATGTTAGACATCGCCATAAAGCTAAGAAAAGCTTTTGAAAGGATGGATGAAGAAGATATTTCTTTCTCAACTGAGCTTAGCTCCGATACTCCAACTAGTGTTGATTGGGAAAATGCCATTATTCTTTGCAAATTTTTGAAGAAGTTTTATGATGCCACCAACAAGATGTCCGAGACTTTGTATATCACTTCAAATGATTATTTTGAGGGAATAGCTTCTTTATTCAATTATCTGAAAGAAGCGGCGAAGGCTTTCGATCCTAGGGTGAGAGTTATGGGTGCGAAAATGAAAGATAAGTTTGACAAATACTATAGGAGTTTTGAGAAAGTGAATATGATGGTGTTGATTGCTGTAGTATTGGATCCTAGAAAAAAAAAGAATTATGTGAGGTATTGTTGTAGACTCATTTATGATGATATTGCAATAGTTGATGAGATGTTTGACAAGGTGAAGTTCGCCATGGAACGTTTGTTTAAATTTTATGAGAAATCTTCTCTTGGGTCTTGTGATAAGAATTTGGGTGGTCAACTTTTGAGTTCTACTAGTGCTGGCAGTAGTTGTGATCCTTATTGCGATGAGGGAAATGAAGGGGAAGATTGCGGTTTGGATTTCTACGTGCAAGAGCCATCATATGAAGCCTTTCTTAATGAGGAGAAAAAGAAGTCTGAGGGCAACTTAACTGAACTCGATCGATATCTTAAAGCTGAACTTGAAGAGGCTCGCTATCTTGACATTTTGATGTGGTGGAGCATGACCGGTCAAAAGTTTAAAATTCTATCTTTGATTGCTCGAGATATTTTGTCTGTTTCTGTAACTACTGTCGCTTCAGAGTCTACCTTCAGTACATCTGGTCGTGTGCTTGATGGCTTTAGAAGTTCTTTGACTCCTAGAGTCTTGGAAGCTTTGATTTGCACTCAAGATTGGTTGAGAGCGGTTATCGAGCCGATTAATGTTGAAGAGTACATCGAGAATGCGGAAAAGTTTGAGTTGGGTAAGGCCATATCTTTTCATCTTGTAATTATTTCGTATATCTAATGAGTGAATGCTTTATTTAATATCTTCTTTTTATTAGATATGGATCATGTTAACATGGAGATTAACAGTACATAGAGTTTTCAAGTTGAAGCGAAAGGAATATATGTGGTGAGATTTTTCAATAATTGTTTGATTTCAATTTGTAGTTCTAATTTATAACTAATGTTGTGTGATCATCTGCATCTATACGTATTGTTGTTTTGTTTTCAGGAGGTTGGAACTTGGAGTTTTAGAGCACTCAAAGCCTGAGAAGTTGTTTGCTGCTTTTATTCATGCGTAAGTTCATATTCTTCAATACAAAGTGTCTGTAAATTGTAAACACTATTATTTCAGACCTGTTTCATATATACTTATTATTTTGTTTTCAAGATGTTGGAACTTGAAGTGAAAGAGCTCTCAAAGCTTAATAAGTTGCTTGCTCTTTTGATTCCTGAGAATAGGAAAGTTGTTGTTGTGTTTGCTTGCTGACTATTGTGAACTTGTGTCAAACTCCCATGCGTGATATATAATATAAGCTACGGATGTATTTGATGTGAAGCTTGTGAAGTTGTGAACTTTGTGGGCGTTGAAGACCATATTGCATGTTCCCTTTGTTGACATTTGCTAGTGATTTGGTCGTGAAAATGCTGGTCTTTCTGTGAATTTCCTTGCATCTTGTGGGTTGCAGTCTTGTTATTGAAAGTGCTCGTCCCGCTCGCTGCTAGCCTTTTGCCACTCGTCGCGCTCGGTCTGGTCCGAACCCATTGGGTCGGTTGGTCCCGGGTTAAACCTGGTACAAAAAATGAAATAAAAAAATTATCGGTTGGTCCCGGGTTGACCCTGGATAGGACCGAACCCTAGGCTCAATAGGGTCGGTCCTCGGTCCCAAAAATTGAGGACCAACACTGTGCGGGTTGGTCCTAGGGTTAGGGGGTGGACCGACCCAACCCGGACCATGCTCACCCCTAGTTGATATCCAATACAATTTTTTATGACCCGTTTAAAAGACAGAACACATTTGTTCTTCCAATGCAACTAGACTGGAAGTATATGGCGTAGTATCTTGTCACAACATGGGCGACATTCTGTAGGAGGATGAACTTCAATGGATGATCCATGCTACCAGGGCAAAGACTTGGTGGCAAGGCTCCTCATGTTATTATTCTTAGCAACAATATATTGTATTTGGATGGAGCATAACCTCATACGTTTTCAAAATAAGTCAAATGATATTCACATTATTATGGCTAAGATGCGTAAACTTTTTAGAGGTAGAGCTTCACTTTACAAAAATATTAGACCTTCCCAAGCTAAGTTTGTTTTAGTATTTTGTGGAGACTTCCAATCTCCATCTTCTCGCATTATTAGTTCTATTCGTAATGCTAGGGGATGACCCTAAACTTCTGCACTTCGTCTAATAACTACTACTTACATTTTACACCAAAAAGAAGAAGAAAGAAATAGAGTAAGCCAAATCTATTGTAAAGAGATTTATGATAAAATCAGAGAAGTGGGACTGATTATGGAATGGCATAACCAAATTTGGACCAGCGATATCAGCAAACATAATTTTATTGGCTCGCTTCTTTGCAGAGACAGACTACCGATAGCAAAGATCGTATCACAATGGATGCCTTCAGTCGATATCCAGTACAATTTATATATGGCCCATTTAGAAGACAGAATGCTTTGTTCCTCCATTGCAACTAGACTGGAAGTATACGATGTAGTATCTTGGCACAACATGATTTTTAGCATTCTATAGGAGGATGGAATAATGAACTTCAATGGATGATCAGTGCTACCAGGGGCAAAGAATTAGTGGCAAGGCTCCTCAAGGTATCATTCTTAGTAACAATATAAAGCATTTGGATAGAGAGTAATCGTGGACGTTTTCAAAACAAGTCAAATGGTATCCACATTATTAAGGCTAAGGTGCATAAAATTGTTAAAGGTAGAGCTTTACTCTACAAAAATATCAGACTTTCCCAAGCTAATGTTGTATTGGTATTTTGTGGAGAATTCCTATCACGATCTTCTCGCATTATTAGTTCTATTTGTAATGCTAGGAGATGCCCCTAAGTTCCTGTACTTTGTCTAATAACTAATACTTACATTTTACACCCAAAAAAAAAGAAAAGAAACAGAGTAAGTTAAATCGATGAACCCTCTAGATACACTTGATGAAGGATGACAAAATATGAATCGGGAGAGCCAGTTTAGGAAAAAAGCAAAGTGCTCTTCTAAAGAAACTTCTCCTTCGGACTGAGTGAATTTGTCGATGAAGAATTCATATCGAAGACCCTTCAAGGAAAAATCAGAAAAATAAGAACATGGACCAAAATCAGACGAGGCTTGGTCCCGAAAAGGAGGAAGCCCTGTGATTGTCTTCACATCCAACAATGTGATTGACAATGCCTTAACTACAATCACATCTTTCTCCTTTTTTATTTGTGCATATTTTGTCATCCTTCATCAAGTGTTTCTAGAGGGTTCATCATTTTAGCTTACTCTAATTTCTTTTTAGTGTAGAAAGTAAGTATTAGTTATCAGATGAAGTACAAAAAATTAGGTGCATCCTTCAGTATTACAAATAGAACTAATAATGCGAAAAGATCATGATAGGAAGGCTCCACATAATTGCCAATACAGCATTAGCCTAGCAAGGTCTAGTATTCTTGTAGAGTGAACCTATACCACTAACAATTTTACACACCTCAGCCAAAATAATGCGGATATCATTTGATTTGTTTTGAAAATATCTGCAGCTGCACTCCATCCAAATGCAATATATTTTTGCTAAGAATGAAGCCTTGCCATCAAGTCTTTTCCCCCGGTAACCCTAATCATCCAGAAGTTCTTCATTCCATCCTCCTACAGAACGCTGAGTCTCATGTTGTGCCACGATACCATGCCATATACATTAAGTCTAGTTGCACTTGAAGAACAAATGTGTTCTGTCTTCTAAACATGTCATATTAGAGTGGAAAGTGATTCTTTGTGACGCCTCAAAACGTCACGGCGACACGTGTCCTTTCCGTTTATACTTAAAGTTATAATTACCCATGCGGAAGCACAATAACATTTTCGTAACATCTCTTACAAGAAAATCCCATGAATTTAACAATATACATGTCTTCAACTATTTAAAAACACCATTATTTATTATCACAACAAAATATATAGTCCCGGAAAAGGTTAGAGTCACCTAACACTACTACACCCATACTAACCAAACCACCA